CAATTTTTGCACAACCTGGTGTGACTTCTTTTTTTGTGATATATATCTTGCCCTATTTGGAGATCTGTGTGCTGGGCCACGCCTTTTACTTTGCAAATGTGGAGCATTTGCTACTTTCGAAAGAATGCGTGCAGAGAGAGGTTTTGACTGTCGACAACTGATCTGATAGTGAGCGCAGTCAGTTGAATCACATCTGATATTCTCCACATCGCAAAGTAGAAATGCAACATGTTCTGAGTTCTTGTGCGCTATTATGGTTGATGCGATAAGCACTGAATTGTTAGGTTTACTCACTGTTCAATATTTTGCTCAGTGTGATGGTGATTTGATAAAGATTCATATATTCAAGGCGCATGAGGGGGAAAGCACTCCAATTTCAATTTGAGTTTAGAAGTTTAATGATCTCATAATAATCTAGGAAGGCTAGGTAGGACTGCTTTCTTCCCCGCATCTGTTAAAAAACAAAAGGTTTATTTCGAGAACATGAGTGGAATTCTGTATTCTGTTGGATTGTGGTCCCAAGGGGGGCCGTTGGGTTAACGACGTGACGGGCTGTGTCGGATGGTGCGCGTGCAAGGCATGAGCGGATCTAGAATAAAAAGATGGAAATTGAGGAATGTTATCAAAGCAAGCAACGTGAAACATACCTCAGTTTACTTTATTTGTTACGAATTGAGACATACGCCGGCAGTAGGTGGTAATTGTCACCGTGCGTAGGAAGCCCCGACTTCTATCCATGGTAGATTTGATCCCCGCACGACGCCTCCTCGCGATGTCCTTGGGACGGAGTCGGCCCTAGGCCTCTGCAAAACTGCATCTTGATAATGTCCAGCTAATTACGAGACTAGGAAAAAAAGCAGTAAACTCGTGAATACAGAAAACTAACCAGACTTTTGAATACAGAAACACTAACCATCTCCACGTTGAGCACCTTTCCCTTGCTTTCACTGGTAAGCCATGAAGGGCGATGATCAGCTTGGCCATGCGTGGGTAGCGCACTCCAACCACGACGCCCAATACCCTGAATTAATGTGAAATTGAGGTGGTTAGGCGCTGCCTTTTTTCAACTTGCTTACCTGTTGAAGGACTCTGCGGCGTTTGACGTCCTCAGTTCCGAGACGTTCCACTTGCACCACAAGTCCTTGAATGGTCCTACGTACCACGTGGTACGCAGGTACTTAAATCGCGGCAGCTGTTGTACGCGGGATGATCGGGCGGAACTGGGGACGGAAGTGGGCAGGAACTTTCTGGTGGAGATGTTTCGGGAGGAACACGAGTCCCTCCAGTGTGCACCACCATTTTCTAACCACGGGAACTCTCGCACGGTCTTTTACGTGCGGGCGCAACCCGAAATTCTTTCCTCCTGGGCTAGGCGGAATGCACAGCCTTCCACAGAGGCCCTCCGAAAGACGTTCTCCGCTGCTCTTATAGCTGCTCTTTCAAAGTCGAGCACAATGCGAAGGTCTTCCCTTCGCTGAGCCGTGAGTGCTTCCTTCATCTTTCGGAAAATCTTTTCATAGAGCGCATACGTCTTCCTGAAACAACAACTTTTCGATGGATCACTTTTTGCTTGATCATGATTGAGTGAGCAGTAAGTACTTCGTCGTAATAAGCGAAGAGCCAGCGGGCATGTCGACGCCGTTCGTTGTTACTCCATGAATTATATAGAGTTGTCCCGTCTTGTTAGTGACGTCCGGCTGTAGGTTGTGAAAACCGTCCATCACCAGAGCAGACCCACGTTGCATGCTCTCTAAAATTGAAGTTGAGCAGGGCTGGTGCTGATATTTCGAGAGATTGCGAAGTTACCTCAATTACGCGGCGGCCAGGTAGATATGATGACCCTCGGAAGAATACTGAAGGAATCGCGTGCCCTCAGGAAGGCAGGAGTAACGTTCCGGCACCTCCGTCATCGACACGCGATGATCGCGCAACTTCTTCGCTGCCCTGAAAAGGGGTACGCATAATTATGAACGACGAAAGAGCGCATGGGGAGTAAGCTACCTGGCTTGTCGCCTAGATTCGTAACCCTTCCCATGGAAATAGTGAAGTATCTCTTCACGCAGTTTAGGATCTGCAGCGAAATGCTAAGGATTGCTGCGTGGTGCGTACTTGCAGCTGTACCTTCGCTGGAGTGGAAGTCTATGTAGCTTCTCAGCTCGTGCCACAGCCGCTCCGGTGTTTTGCTCGCGAACGCTGCCGACGACGTGCGGACATGTCTAAATCGTCAAATATTCCTGCCAGCAGTTAACTTCACACCTTGCACACAAAATCAGACATTGCCTACACAAAACAGTTTCGCCCGCATGCGTGCTTTCTAACTCCCAATAAAACGCGAATGTCAGCAATGTGCAAAGCACATAACTAGCAGCTCACAAAAATAATTTGAAGAGTATCACTCACCTTTGATTGACTACAGCAAAAAAAAATACTCCGTTGACGACTTCAATTCAACGCCTTCATAGAAGGCGAGGCGGACGAAAAGGAACTAAAAACATCACACAATGATAATAATACGCGTAGTGTCAAAAGCTGCGCATAGAAAGCACATTACATTACAGTTCACAAAAAATTGGAGTGTGTAACTTACCTCCGATCAACTATATCGAAAGAAAAAAAAGACTCCTAACTGATTCCGAGGTAAGAGTCTGAGTGGAAAACGCAAGCAATAAGTTGAGAAAAAAAAAAAACAAAAAAAAAAAAAAAAAAAAAAAAAAAAAAAAAAAGCGAAATTCAAATAACTCACCTCTTCTCCACTTTCAATTCTCATAGCGGACCTAAAAACAATAATAGTAGCACAGGAAACACAAGCATTGCAAAAGAAGAGTTCATGGAAGAAACAAAAGAAAAAAAATAATTAAGATACTATAACTCACATCCCATCATTTCCAAAGCATGGAATTGAGGCACCAACACTCTGAAGAGAAAAAAAGTGCCAGCAAAAAAAAACGTATAGCCATAAAGCACTATAAATAAAAAACCGCAGTTACATGGCAAAAAGAAAAGACAAATTGAAGACGAAAATTGAGCAGTGATAAATACGTTCAAAAAAAAAGCAAAATGGAGGAAGAAGAGAAACACTCAAGAAGAAATGATACACGGAACACACATACATTCGAAAGACAAACGACAAATATCTCGGAAGTGAAAAGATGATGAAAGCTATGAAAATACCAGCAAATATATAAAGTGCGACGATGCAAAAATACGCTTGGATGCAGATAAAGCACCGCACACGAGAAAACCGCTGCGCGCCCAAACCCTCCGCTGCCGTACGCGGCTACACGCTGACCTTGGTGGAGTCTTCTATAATAATCGCCCAGGCCTCCGTATTTCCACCGACACGCAACCGTCGGATCACTAGCGGGGTCGTAGGACCGCCCACCGTTTACTCATATATCCATTGCACCAACGCGCCCACCCATCTAACTATTAGTCCCTTCGCCTTCATATTCTACTTCAGCAAATTTAGTCGATACGAGCACCTAAGAGCGTCTCGGAAATCATTCGTCGGAGGGCGCCTTGTGTCGTTTTTTCGTTGTGTATTAGCAGCTTGATCATGTGCGTATAAAGGATCCTTCCCTGGAACAGCCCCATCGGCAGCTGCTCAGGACGCCGAATTGTCCCGCTACGACGTATTTACCTACCACTTCTCGAAATTTATTGGCTGTCACTTGCCCGAAGGTGTTCTCGTAGTCAGTACACATCCACATCCTTGATTCTATCATACACTCTTCGGTGTAGTGCGCCACCTCCTTCTCTGTAAAAGGTCCTACCAAACAAATGTAAGTTGTAGTGGTAGCCGCGCCGCGCCTTTTGGTAGGTAGAAAATGATGTAACTATCAACTACCTTCATAGCACCCCATCAGGAACGCTGGCTATGCAAGCGTTCCCTTGCGATGCACTGGAAGCAGATGCATAATTCTATAGGTTACACTCAATCTTAACCACTTACCTGTTGCAAGTTCAGAACTACATGACCGCTGTAATCGCTCACATTTCCAAATTAACAGATGTAACTGAATCTGAATTGGCTCGTGACAACATGATCAGCGTTTCATACTTAGCACGCCAGCGCGTCTGCATCGCCGCGTACCACCACCATGTAGTCGAAATGCGCCATCGCTCCGTCAACGCAGCGACGATACGCCGCCGTCGCGAAATTTTGATAACGCTGTCCTTGACATCCACTGACATCTATGAAGCCTCGTTACCATTCATATAATAAACAGGGCGGGCACAACAATTTCTTTTCGCAGAGATTTGTAATGTTGCGGCCAGAGCACCTGCCCCAACATTACAAAAAGGCCCTAACCGGAATAACCTTAAAAACGGAACGACATAGAAATCCTAAATTAAGCCCAGCATAATCAACTCGTTTATGTGTGCGAGTTACGTCCTAAGTAAGATCAATCATCGCTCGTTAAGTAAGGAATCATTCACGCCTTGCGCCAGCAAATAAACACATTATTTCAACAATAAACAACTTCACGACAATACGTCAGGGTCACTCAACAGAAAATCAGAAACATACTACACATTTTCACGAACGCTTTCGAAGATTCCGCTAAAGTGAAGTCGTATAAAGCGCAAAACAAGTCTAATCCAAAAACGGGCTCTGCCATTAGAGAGCTCGCTTGACTGAGAGAAGTTTTTTTGTTACCCAGATATAACGTTCTCTTCTTCAGTAAAATAAAAACTCGATTAAGATATTGAGAAATATGTTTTTTAAAACAGCGAAGTCCAACAATTGAATAATGATCCGGCGTCCGATCATTTGTGGCTATCCGTATGGTAAGAGCTTCAAAATTGGTATATTAATGTGCTATGGATGCTTAAAGACCGCTTTCCGTCGGAAAAACATCATGTAAGGCGTTCTCAGAAGCACGAAATCGTTTGGTGATCGGCACGCTCATCCCACACGCCTAGGGGATTTATCGTTGCCTTAAACCGATTCAATGAGGAAGTGTATGTACGAGCATAGCCTGAGATAGATCATCGCTGGTCGAAGACCAATCTGAAAAAAATTACGGTGACTGCACAGGAATTGTGGAAACACATCATCTCAAGCAGTAGCAAGCTTCACGGTGATATCAACGGGGCCTTCAAGGGGAACAGGGTCATTGCATGATATTTTCACGTAGGGCCACGATAAGATTTGAGGGAGTCGAAAAAAAGCGAAAAGAGCCAAAGAAGTCTGAAACTCCGAAATGGGCACTACACACTTGCAATAACATTCGCACTCGGACCAAAGAAAGAATTTTTTGTTAGCAAGAATGACCTACCTTTTCAGCAGTAACGCAAAAGAAGGCAAAAAGCAGTCTTTGCCCCTGGACTGTAGGTAAAAACAGTTGTGATCAATTACTGATCGGTGCGGCCATTTGTAGGCCACACCGATCACTAATTGATCACAACTGTTTTCACCTACAGTCTCGTTGTTGCTAGGGAGTACGGATGTGTATGGTAAGCCTTACTGGGATGCTTAGAGCTTGCCAGGGCATGGTATTCTTTGGTGTTCGGCTTACTCATAAAACACACTCAGGAGGTTTATCGTGCCTCACGATTTGAAGCATGTAGGCGCCGTAAATTCCACAATTTTCAAAGCTCTTTATCGCTGCGTGACTTTATGAGTCTCCGTTCCTGCCGTATCAAGCGGGAAGACTTTTGCGTCAACATTTCCTTTTAAAGAGAATAATCGCTCACTGAGTCATTCTTCCGTTCCGAGCATTTCGATGGTGAAATTCAGGTAACGGAACAAACAACGTCTGCTTGTTTTTCTGAACTGATTAAATGTGCTAACGTTTGCGAAATCCCAACTATTGCTGAGCGCTGAGAGTTCCACCTTAGGTGATGTCAGCCATTCCAGATAAGAGTCTGCTATTCCGATAGTTGGCGTCAAGCCGCTTGTTTTCATAAAATGTCATACTTTAAGATACTTCGATTTGTTAAATAGAAACCAGCACGGATTCTCATGAGCTCTTTCAATTCTTACGCGTGCAAGAGCTGGGATCATTCTCAGAGTAAAGGTCTGCAGCAGCAGAGGGTTGTGGGTCTGAGAGTCCTTCCAAACCCCAAATTTGATCAACTGAAAGTCGGAATATTCTTTTCTCGACAAATTTTCATAACAAAGATTTTCAAGTGTTCTGTCTTGCAAAAGTAACTACTGAGCCACTTTGTCTAGCGTTTCCGTCGGTACAGTTGATATCGTCGCAACTAGTCGAGGCGGTGTCAGGAGGAGCGGAAGGAGCCCCTGCGGTGTTTTCCCAGCACGGCTGATTTTTTCTTGGACCTATACCTTTTAGTGGAAAATGAAGCCGGCGATAAGCTCGTTTCACGCCTCCTGACACCACTCGACTGACTGCGACGATATCAACTGTGTGTTATTGCTGCACTGTACCGAATTTGATCAGAGGTGATGTCCTAGCCATCGTCTAGTTCGCAGCGGATGAAGGGGCGTGTCAGGCGGGATATGTGGCGCGGTGCCGAACCCGTTCTCCACCAGTTTTTCAAGCGGACCAAGACAAGATAGTATCATATCGCTCGTATATCATATCGCTCGTATCACTCTTTTTCTATCAGTTGTCTACCCGCGAGAACGGGTTTGGCGCGTGGCACACTCACACTCCCTGACACGCCTTTTTATCCGCCGCGAACTAGAGTATACGAGCGTCCCATTCCTTTAGATTGACCCACCGATCGAAATCCCTTTGGATCTACCTCATCATTAACAATTTTGTGTCGATACGTGTCGTCACGATCGCCTGGGAATAATGAATGGCAGAACATCGGCAATTTTCTTCAACATAGGGAAGGTGGTACCTTCACCAACCCTGTTCTCCTTGAAATTCTAAAAAAGGAAAAGAGTTGCGAATAGCCCACAGATGAGGCTCTGAACGAATGACACTATGTGTAATTGACCTTCATCACAAATTACTCTAGTTGTTTCCAGGCAGCTCAGGAGGCATTAATTATGACTTATGAGGCGGAGGTGGTGTAGTGACAATAAGCGCGCTTACCTCTCACGCGATTGTGG